TTATGGAGCGAAAGGGAAAAAGGTTTGGGGTAAAGTTATGAATATGTATGTATTCTCTAGAAGGGTAGAGCTTTGCCTCTCTGACTTGAGCAAACATCTGGAAGGAAGTTATCTGCAAGTAATGCTGGTCACAGCCTCTTCTGTCCATTGTGGATTTTGAATCAAGCCTTCAAGCAGCCTTAGGTGCTTCCCAGGGAAGCAGAAACTGACAACCATGATACCAAGATGGTCCAAAGTAGCTTTCCAGGCAAGGTCATAGAAGTAGATCTAGGGTGATATCTTCCTAAATGACTAGTACATGATGTTATCATTAGATGGGGGGGGAGAAAAAAATACCTCCTTATCCCATAGAGGGTTATCATTCAGTTATCTGAAAGAGGCAGTATTTATTCTGAACAGCTTCAACTACATTATAATCTATAATCTGACTGGCGAATCAAATATAAAAGACTCGTTATTAAAAAATTGTTTTTGTATGTTTTGAAGGGAGATGAGGATAGAAGAAGGACAGCATTTGGCACCTGAAGTTGAGGGGAGGGTGGGTGGTTTATGGTGTCACTGACTACTTTAAAGAGTGGTTACACCAGAGAAGGCTACCAGTACAGATGGTGAGCAGAAGGCCTTGCAGTCTTGCTGACTTGGCAACTTCACTGAGGATGGACCTCCTTAAACTTCAGTGGGATAGGGATAAATAGAAGGCATGCACCAAGCTATTTTAATCATGCAGCTGCAGATGTAGGCAGCTCTACATTGTAGGATTTGGAAAATTCTATTTTTAAAAGCATGATTGCCCTTGGTTAAATTAAGGAGCTGGATTCCCATTAATTAGTGCCAGTATTTACTTATTTATTGAGATGGGTCTCACTCTGTTGCCCAGGCTGGAGTGATTAGCACAATCATAGCTCACTACAGCCTCAAACTCTTGGCCCAAATGGTCCTCCTGCCTCAGTTTCCTGAATAGCTAGGGCTATAGGTGAGCCCACCATGCCCAACTAATAATTTTTTTTTATTTTTTATTTTTTATAGAGACAGAGTCTTTCTATGTGGCCCAGGGTAACCTCAAACTCTTAGCCTCAAGCAGTCCTCCCACCTTGGCCTCCCAAAGTATGGGGGTTATAGGCATGAGTCATCATACCTAGCCAGTGCTAAAATTTAGTTTACCATATAGTTCACATAATATTACTTTCTTATATCATTTTTTGCTATTGATATAAAAGTTTCCTTACCTGATTAAAAAAAAAAAAGAAAGAAACTATCTTTAGAACCAATATTCACTCTTTGTGTCTCGCCTAGAACCCTGATGCCCACCCAATTTCTAGACTCTTCTTGCTCTCTTGTTTTTGAACCTACTGTTTTATGTTATGGTATATACTATGCAATTAAAAATATAACTACCTCTAAAATCACTGAACTAAGCTGTTTCCCATATTCTGTTAGGGGGAATACATTTAAGTTCTCCAGATGATAGGAAGCAGTTACAATAAAGTGCAAGGACGTTTGGAGCGCCGTATTTAGTTTTCATCACTATTGTCAAAAGGATCATTTGGAGATGTGCTATGAGCCTGACACTGTTCTAAGTGTCACACTTTTTTCTTTTTTCTGGACCCATTCAGCTCTGGGATGCTGCATAAATCATACTTCTACATTTTGCACTTTTCTAATGTTTTGTCATTAGAATAAATACAAGGTTTTGTAGATTAGACCAGTGATGTAGGGCTAAAGTTTATAGAATGTAAAGCATTGTATAAGACATAAAGAATACAGCCAATTTCAGCTCTTTCAGAAGGAAAACTTTTGCAGCACTTTATTTAGACCATTTTGGCATCAGAATTAGAAAACAAAACCTAATTGTAGTTATATAGTTTACATATTTCTTAAATTACCTTGATCACTGCTTTGGAATCATCCAGATGTTCCATGGGTTTTTGTTCAATTTAATTAAATGGAATTATTTTCTGAAATTAAAAGGGGTTGTTTATTGAATTTTCCAACGTTGCTGCCTTTTGTTGACTGCTAGCAATTTTAAATCAAAATCACTATTTTTCATAATTCCCACACATACAGAGTTTAGCATTGTATATATCTTCACCTGGGCTGAACTAAAGAGCATAACTTTTTGTCATGTAGTACATTTTACCTAAGATTACTTTTGTTAAAACAAGACAGTTGCTTTTTCTTCAGATTATTGCTTGAAAAACAGGCTTAAGGATATCTACCAAAGCTTCGCCTGCCTTTGTAACAGTTTTCTTTAAAGTTGACATATATCAAAAATATCTCTTTTCTAACTAAGGAGCTTTGTCAATCTTTAGAGCTGGTAATATCTTAATCCTGGTTTGTGGTACAAGTGTGTGTGTGTGTTTGTGTGTATGTTTTAGTATTTCTTCTCTTACAGAAAAAAATGAAATGGCCTTTTAAAAATCCAGCCTTCACCTTTGTGATCAGAAAAAGGAAATGTAATTATATTTCTAGCTTTTGCAGTTTCTACTTCTCATCAATAAATTATTTTTGCTATCAAATGGAAAATCTATTTGTTTCATACTCTCACCTCTAGCCTCTTTTCATCTAAATAGTTTTCATTCATCTTAGCCACTGGGTTGTGTTTTCTCTTCTACAATGGTTTTACTTTCATATATAGTTTAACACTGTCTCCTATTTTTTTTTTTTTTTGAGACAGAGTCTTGCTCTGTTGCCCAGGCTGCAGTGCAGTGGTGTGATCTCAGCTCACTGCCACCTCTGCCCCTCAGATTCAAGCGTTTCTCCTGCCTCTGCTTCCTGAGTAGCTGGGATTACAGGCACCACACATCACCACACCCAGCTAATTTTTGTATTTTTAGTAGAGATGGGATTTCACTATGCTGGCCAGGCTGGTCTCGAACTCCTGACCTTGTGATCCACCCGCCTTGGCCTCCCAAAGTGCTGGGATTACAGCTGTGAGCCACCGCACCTGGCCTCTCCTATAATTTTCAAGATTCACTTCATGGTTAATGTCTTGCAGGTAATATCCTGCATTCTTTTCTCTCTTTTATTTCCCTGGAGTGGTGGTTGGACTGCTTTCATTTCTGTCTAAATATTCATTATGATAGCTAGGCGATACAGCTCTGGAGTCTAACTTAGTGATGTTTTGAAGGCTTTCAGTGTTTGGATCTTTTACTTTTTGCAGTTCCAATTCTAGTGAGTATGAGTGACAAGTGGTCAGGAGGTAGAAGCTAAAAGATGAGAAAGAGTCGTTAAAGGGTAGAACCTGCTGTTGTACTAGAAACAGGGATGAAACAGGGAGATGAGGAAGAGGAGATGGAATTTTTGATTTTATGCATCAAAAATTTTGTTCTCTGAGACACAGTAGGGAAGATAGACAGGTTTGTGGATATAACTGGAAATTTTTGGATGGAAAAGAGAAAGTGTCCATGTAAAGGAATATCTGTCTGCTCAGTAAAATGGGAGGAGGAGGTCACTTGTTAAAGTGAAGTTGAGACTGGGAACCTCGGGACAATATTTGCCAGAAAAGAAGCAAAGGAAAAATATAAAGCTGAGTGAGGAGTGTGCTGGCTCAACGTGGGTTAAGTCACTCTGCTGCTTGAAGCCTTTCATCAGAACTGTCTGATTAACAAGGAAAGTAGTTTTTTTCTTTCTTGATGTTTATTAATTTTGTGATTTGTCCTGGAGCACAGTAGGAGAAGCAACTTGGGACGAATAAATTGTATCAATTGGCTTCCTGTATCTTTGTAACTTTCTCCTGAGCTTAAACTAGGGTCCCCTTTCACGGCAAGTGCCTAACTAACACCATCATTATGGTCAGGAGTTTTGGACCCATGTTGAACTTGACATTCCTCCCAAGTGCAATTTTGCATGGATTGTAAGTGAGGGAGGCCATCAGACCCCACTCTGATTGCCCAGTCTTTGCAATGGACCCTGTCAGTTCTTGCCGTTTTCCATATAACTAGTGTGCTTGTTCTTGCTGCAGTACTTTTGGCTAGACATCCTTTATGCCTAACTAGACAGTTTTGATCATTGTAGACCTTGCCGTACACTTGACCTCCTTCGTAACACTTGTCTAAAGCTGCAGCTGTTCTCTTTCTATCTCTCTCTGAATAGTGAATTCTGCCCAGTTCCAATCCTTATTGATATATTTCTCCCTGTTTTCTTAGGTAGACTGTAATTTTCTTGTGAGAAGGACCATATCTTCTATGCATCTCTTTTAGATCCATTCACCGTAGTCTAGTACCAGGTGTGCATGACATCTTCATAAATGTTCAGAATGGAATTGTCACTGGTGTTTGATTTTCATAAGGTGACACCAGTAGTTGATGTTTCAAATATGTCCACTCACCATATTTGCGATGCTACAGATAATAGTTATTATAAGTATTTTTGCTGTTTCAGGTTTCCTTAATAAGCTTCATTAATTTGATAATTTAAACATTTTATTTTAATTTTCTTTTTGTTTTTCTTTCTTCATTTTCATGGTTCTGTATGTTGGCCCTGAGTCATGACTCTTTAGGATGCCGTGGTGACCTGTCAGAGCATTGTTGCGTTAAGTTGTTCCTTGCTCCCTTCTCTGTGATGTGCTCAGCTATGATCATCTGCTCCGTCACTCTTTTTTTCTTGCAGTTCATTCCTAGTGATTAAATTATATCTTTTATGCCCTGTATTTTCACTGTTTCTTCTCATATAGGCAATATAAAGCCACAGCATGTCTGAGGTATATATGTCTCTTATGGATATGCACTAATAATATGTATGAAAACTTTACAGTTTAACTCATAATTCTGGGTCATTCCAGTTAACTTGTCATTGTGTTCTCACTGGGTAGCGGTAATTTGCATGGCTCAGTCAATCCAAGGAACATTTTATGCAATAAAAAAGTACAAAAGAACCATTTAAGTTGAGTAATAGATTTATTACAAAATAATTACAAAATATATTTATTATTTAATACAAAAGAAATAAATTTACCACAAAGCTACAAATGGCGTAAAAGTACATATTTGTGTTCCTTTTAGGAATCGAACATTTTAAGTCCAGTGCAGGATGGAACAAAGAAACCTCAGATTGACAGCAACAAGAGCAATAACTACCGGATTGTAAAGGAGGTCAGCAGATACAAAATATTCTTATATAGGTTTATATTTGCATGCCAAATAAGTTTTGCTTATAGATTATACTTAATATTGTTATTTGTTATATTTGATGCTTTCCCTCTTCTTTTTAAAGATTTTGATTAGGCTAAGTAAACTCTGTGTACAGAATAAAAAGTGTCGGATTCAACATCAACGATTACTGAAAAATATGGGGGCACATTCAGTGGTGCTAGATCTTCTCCAGATACCCTACGAAAAGGTTAGTCCTGGTTATTTTTTGTTCTTTAGCTTGAGCTTGTTATTTTGATACAGTTTAAAAATGTTTCACAGAGTTCCAATAAATTTTTTCTTTATTATTTTAGAATAAATCACCCACCAGGTGCCCCATCACCCCTGAGCCCTTTTGTGTATGTTTCCGACAAACAAGGGTACACTACCACATCACCACACTAGAGCCTTCCAAATCAGGAAAGAGCATGGTGCTTTACCACCACCTAGTCCCTACACACTCCTCAGGTTTCTCCCTTTGTCCCAATTGTTTTCGGCTTGAAAAAAAGATCAACTTCAGAATCACGCGCTGTTCAGTTGTCATGTTTATTTAAATCTCTTCATGTGGGAACTCCCATAACATTGACACTCTTAAAAATAGCCAGTTATTTTGAAGGATGTGCCGTAATGTGGATCATCTGATATTTCCTCCTGATTAACACAATTACGCATATTTGGCAGGAACATAACAGGAGTAATGCTAAGTTCGTCTCATTGCTTCCTATTAGTTGGTGCACAATTTTGATTTGTCCCATGACTGATGATGTTCACTTTGATCAATTGATTGAGGTTGTGTCTTCCAGGCTTCTCTGATTTTCCCTTTGTAATTCCTTTGTAATTAATAAGTATTTTGTGGAGCAGTTCTGTGAAACTAATATCCCATTCTTCATGAAACTTTCAACGTATTCATTTACTGTGTTTATTTTTATCAGTATGGGTTTGTATATGTTCATTTTATTCCATAGGTTATAAAGGGTTCTATCATTATTTATTTTGATTTCCAAAATGTCTCAGATTTGGTCAGTGGAGTTCCTTTGAGCTAGATTATCTGTCTTCTAATATACCCCCACCATTCTTTGAGTACTTCCTTGCTTTCTGGCACAATAAAATGTTCCAGGCTCATCTTGTGTTTTTCTTGCTTCAACTCTAGAATCAGCCATTTCTTTAAGAAGCCCCATTTCTATTTGGTGGGGAATGGTATTTAGGAGCAAAGTTCTGAGAACTGAGTGGGCTTATTGCTTTGGGGTGTTGTCTCCATAGCCTCTCTAAATAGGCAAAGCTAGGGAATATGCATATGGGTGGGTGCATGTATAAATTTATTTAATATTAACATAAAATTCCACTCAAAACATGAGTCCATCTGAATTTCTAACAATGACCACATGACAAATGGTACAGTCAACTACACAGGGAAATTTTAGGTAGTTTCACTGATATTGTCACAAGACCACTTTTAAGAAGACAGATTTGTTTCTCTGTGAATTTTAAGAGTTAAGTTTCTTGTTAAGATTCTTTTTTTTTTTAAATAATTTATTGAGATTTTATTTGTGCCAAATGCATCTTCACATACTCCTTGCCCATATACCCCCTGCCCAATGATGTTTAATTGAAATGCTTTAAAATATGGAAAACAGAGAGAAGAGAAAATAATCTTCACTTTATTTTTTACAAAATGATAATTAAAAGCAGAAAATTCTTTTTGTTTATAAGTACGTATAAAAGAGAAGTGTTCCAATAACTTCACTGCATTTACATTTTCATAGTTTAATTATAAGCAAATTTTCATTCCTTTTTGAATTTTTTGAAGTATAACATATAGAAAAGTTGAGAAATCGTACGTGTATGGTTTGATGACTTCTTACAATTTAAATTCCCCCATGCAACCAGCACCTAGATCAAAAAGCAGAACATTGACAGCACTCCAGAAGTCCCTTTAATGCACCCTTTTATTCATTGTGCCTAAAGGGTAACCACTATTCTCCTTTTAATGCCATATATTATATTAGATTTTCAAAAACCTTTTATCCTGAGAACCATACAAATAAAGATTGAATTTTATTAATTCAACCATATGTTGTGAGATACATTCATGTTTGTAGTTGTAATTCATTCACTTTCATTGTTCTACAGTATTCTAATTGATAAACAGTTGAAAATTTATTCCTACATTTTACCTATGGTAGTTGCCAGTATTCTACCATTATGACTAAGGCTCTTACTTTCATTCTTGTGCATATCATTTGAACATGTATGTGCATTTCTGTTAGGAATATACTTAGAAGTTAAATGGCTGGTTATGGATATGCTCTCCTCTAGCAAACACTGCCAAATGATAGAATAAATTACTGTACAACCAGCAATGTGTGGATTTTTAGTTGCTCCATATGTCTACCTTTTTGCTTTTCTCTTATTTTCATTTGAGCAATTGTGAGTATGCAGCAGAATTGTAATGTGATTTGAATCTGCACTTGCCTGATAAATAATAAAGTTGATCACCTTTTCTTTTTTTTTTAATTTATTTATTATTATTATACTTTAAGTTGTAGGGTATATGTGCATAACGTGCAGGTTTGTTACATATGTATACTTGTGCCATGTTGGTGTGCTGCACCCATCAACTCGTCATTTACATCAGGTATAACTCCCAATGCAATCCCTCCCCCCGCCCCCCTCCCCATGATAGGTCCCAGTGTGTGATGTTCCCCTTCCTGAGTCCAAGTGATCTCATTGTTCAGTTCCCACCTATGAGTGAGAACATGCGGTGTTTGGTTTTCTGTTCTTGTGATAGTTTGCTAAGAATGATGGTTTCCAGCTGCATCCATGTCCCTACAAAGGACACAAACTCATCCTTTTTGATGGCTGCATAGTATTCCATGGTGTATATGTGCCACATTTTCTTAATCCATCTGTCACTGATGGACATTTGGGTTGATTCCAAGTCTTTGCTATTGTGAATAGTGCTGCAATAAACATACGTGTGCATGTGTCTTTATAGCAGCATAATTTATAATCCCTTGGGTATATACCCAGTAATGGGATGGCTGGGTCATATGGTACATCTAGTTCTAGATCCTTGAGGAATCGCCATACTGTTTTCCATAATGGTTGAACTAGTTTACAATCCCACCAACAGTGTAAAAGTGTTCCTATTTCTCCACATCCTCTCCAACATCTGTTGTTTCCTGACTTTTTAATGATCGCCATTCTAACTGGTGTGAGATGGTATCTCATTGTGGTTTTGATTTGCATTTCTCTGATGGCCAGTGATGATGAGCATTTTTTCATGTGTCTGTTGGCTGTATGAATGTCTTCTTTTGAGAAATGTCTGTTCATATCCTTTGCCCACTTTTTGATGGGGTTGTTTGTTTTTTCTTGTAAATTTGTTTGAGTTCTTTGTAGGTTCTGGATATTAGCCCTTTGTCAGACGAGTAGATTGCAAAAATTTTCTCCCATTCTGTAGGTTGCCTGTTCACTCTGATGGTAGTTTCTTTTGCTGTGCAGAAGCTCTTTAGTTTAATGAGATCCCATTTGTCAATTTTGGCTTTTGCTGCCGTTGCTTTTGGTGTTTTAGACATGATGTCTTTGCCCATGCCTATGTCCTGAATGGTACTACCTAGGTTTTCCTCCAGGATTTTTATGGTATTAGGTCTAACATTTAAGTCTCTAATCCATCTTGAATTAATTTTCATATAAGGAGTAAGGAAAGGATCCAGTTTCAGCTTTCTACTTATGGCTAGCCAATTTTCCCAGCACCATTTATTAAATAGGGAATCCTTTCCCCATTTCTTGTTTCTCTCAGGTTTGTCAAAGATCAGATGGCTGTAGATGTGTGGTATTATTTCTGAGGACTCTGTTCTGTTCCATTGGTCTATATCTCTGTTTTGGTACCAGTACCATGCTGTTTTGGTTACTGTAGCCTTGTAGTATAGTTTGAAGTCAGGTAGCGTGATGCCTCCAGCTTTGTTCTTTTGACTTAGGATTGTCTTGGAGATGCGGGCTCTTTTTTGGTTCCATATGAACTTTAAAGCAGTTTTTTCCAATTCTGTGAAGAAACTCATTGGTAGCTTGATGGGGATGGCATTGAATCTATAAATTACCTTGGGCAGTATGGCCATTTTCACGATATTGATTCTTCCTATCCATGAGCATGGTATGTTCTTCCATTTGTTTGTGTCCTCTTTATTTCACTGAGCAGTGGTTTGTAGTTCTCCTTGAAGAGGTCCTTTACATCCCTTGTAAGTTGGATTCCTAGGTATTTTATTCTCTTTGAAGCAATTGTGAATGGAAGTTCATTCATGATTTGGCTCTCTGTTTGTCTGTTACTGGTGTATAAGAATGCTTGTGATTTTTGCACATTAATTTTGTATCCTGAGACTTTGCTGAAGTTGCTTATCAGCTTAAGGAGATTTTGGGCTGAGACAATAGGGTTTTCTAAATATACAATCATGTCATCTGCAAACAGGGACAATTTGACTTCTTCTTTTCCTAACTGAATACCCTTGATTTCTTTCTCTTGCCTAATTGCCCTAGCCAGAACTTCCAACACTATGTTGAATAGGAGTGGTGAGAGAGGGCATCCCTGTCTTGTGCCAGTTTTCAAAGGGAATTTTTCCAGTTTTTGCCCATTCAGTATGATATTGGCTGTGGGTTTGTCATAAATAGTTGTTATTATTTTGAGGTACGTTCCATCAATACCGAATTTATTGAGCGTTTTTAGCATGAAGGGCTGTTGAATTTTGTCAAAAGCCTTTTCTGCATCTATTGAGATAATCATGTGGTTCTTGTCTTTGGTTCTGTTTATATGCTGGATCATGTTTATTGATTTGCGAATGTTGAACCATCCCAGGGATGAAGCCCACTTGATCATGGTGGATAAGCTTTTTGATGTGTTGCTGAATCCGGTTTGCCAGTATTTTATTGAGGATTTTTGCATCGATGTTCATCAGGGATATTGGTCTAAAATGCTCTTTTTTTGTTGTGTCTCTGCCAGGCTTTGGTATCAGGATGATGTTGGCCTCATAAAATGAGTTAGGGAGGATTCCCTCTTTTTCTATTGATTGGAATAGTTTCAGAAGGAATGGTACCAACTCCTCCTTGTACCTCTTGTAGAATTCAGCTGTGAATCCATCTGGTCCTGGACTTTTTTTGGTTGGTAGGCTATTAATTATTGCCTCAATTTCAGAGCCTGCTATTGGTCTATTCAGGGATTCAACTTCTTCCTGGTTTAGACTTGGAAGAGTGTAAGTGTCCAGGAAGTTATCCATTTCTTCTAGATTTTCCAGTTTATTTGCGTAGAGGTGTTTATAGTATTCTCTGATGGTAGTTTGTATTTCTGTGGGGTCGGTGGTGATATCCCCTTTATCATTTTTAATTGCGTCGATTTGATTCTTCTCTCTTTTCTTCTTTATTAGTCTTGCTAGTGGTCTGTCAATTTTGTTGATCTTTTCAAAAAACCAACTCCTGGATTCATTGATTTTTTGGAGGGTTTTTTGTGTCTCTATCTCCTTCAGTTCTGCTCTGATCTTAGTTATTTCTTGCCTTCTGCTAGCTTTCGAATGTGTTTGCTCTTGCTTCTCTAGTTCTTTTAATTGCGATGTTAGAGTGTCAATTTTAGATCTTTCCTGCTTTCTCTTGTGGGCATTTAGTGCTATAAATTTCCCTCTACACACTGCTTTAAATGTGTCCCAGAGATTCTGGTATGTTGTATGTTTGTTCTCATTGGTTTCAAAGAACATCTTTATTTCTGCCTTCATTTCGTTATGTACCCAGTAGTCATTCAGGAGCAGGTTGTTCAGTTTCCATGTAGTTGAGCGGTTTTGATTGAGTTTCTTAGTCCTGAGTTCTAGTTTGATTGCACTGTGGTCTGAGAGACAGTTTGTTATAATTTCTGTTCTTGTACATTTGCTGAGGAGTGCTTTACTTCCAATTACGTGGTCGATTTTGGAGTAAGTACGATGTGGTGCTGAGAAGAATGTATATTCTGTTGATTTGGGGTGGAGAGTTCTATAGATGTCTATTAGGTCTGCTTGCTGCAGAGATGAGTTCAATTCCTGGATATCCTTGTTAACTTTCTGTCTCGTTGATCTGTCTAATGTTGACAGTGGAGTGTTGAAGTCTCCCATTATTATTGTATGGGAGTCTAAGTCTCTTTGTAAGTCTCTAAGGACTTGCTTGATGAATCTGGGTGCTCCTGTATTGGGTGCATATATATTTAGGATAGTTAGCTCTTCCTGTTGAATTGATCCCTTTACCATTATGTAATGGCCTTCTTTGTCTCTTTTGATCTTTGATGGTTTAAAGTCTGTTTTATCAGAGACTAGTATTGCAACCCCCGCTTTTTTTTGTTCTCCATTTGCTTGGTAAATCTTCCTCCATCCCTTTATTTTGAGCCTATGTATGTCTCTGCGTGTGAGATGGGTCTCCTGAATACAGCAGACTGATGGGTCTTGACTCTTTATCCAGTTTGCCAGTCTGTGTCTTTTAATTGGAGCATTTAGTCCATTTACATTTAAGGTTAAGATTGTTATGTGTGAACTTGATCCTGCCATTATGATATTAACTGGTTATTTTGCTCGTTAGTTGATGCAGTTTCTTCCTAGCCTCGATGGTCTTTACATTTTGGCATGTTTTTGCGATGGCTGGTACCGGTTGTTCCTTTCCATGTTTAGTGCTTCCTTCAGGGTCTCTTGTAAGGCAGGCCTAGTGGTGACAAAATCTCTAAGCATTTGCTTATCTGTAAAGGATTTTATTTCTCCTTCACTTATGAAACTTAGTTTGGCTGGATATGAAATTCTGGGTTTAAAATTCTTTTCTTTAAGAATGTTGAATATTGGCCCCCACTCTCTTCTGGCTTGGAGAGTTTCTGCCGAGAGATCTGCTGTTAGTCTGATGGGCTTCCCTTTGTGGGTAACCCGACCTTTCTCTTGGCTGCCCTTAAGATTTTTTCCTTCATTTCAACTTTGGTGAATCTGGCAATTATGTGTCTTGGAGTTGCTCTTCTCGAGGAGTATCTTTGTGGCATTCTCTGTATTTCCTGGATTTGAATGTTGGCCTGCCCTACTAGGTTGGGGAAGTTCTCCTGGATGATATCCTGAAGAGTGTTTTCCAACTTGGTTCCATTTTCCCCCTCAGTTTCAGGCACCCCAATCAGACGTAGATTTGGTCTTTTTACATAATCCCATACTTCTTGCAGGCTTTGTTCATTTCTTTTTCTTCTTTTTTCTTTTGGTTTCTCTTCTCGCTTCATTTCATTCATTTGATCCTCAATCGCTGATACTCTTTCTTCCAGTTGATCGAGTCGGTTACTGAAGCTTGTGCATTTGTCACGTATTTCTCGTGTCATGGTTTTCATCTCTTTCATTTCGTTTATGACCTTCTCTGCATTAATTACTCTAGCCATCAATTCTTCCACTTTTTTTTCAAGATTTTTAGTTTCTTTGCGCTGGGTACGTAATTCCTCCTTCAGCTCTGAGAAATTTGATGGACTGAAGCCTTCTTCTCTCATCTCGTCAAAGTCATTCTCCGTCCAGCTTTGATCCGTTGCTGGCGATGAGCTGCGCTCCTTTGCCAGGGGAGATGCGCTCTTATTTTTTGAATTTCCAGCTTTTCTGCCCTGCTTTTTCCCCATCTTTGTGGTTTTATCTGCCTCTGGTCTTTGATGATGGTGATGTACTGATGGGGTTTTGGTGTAGGTGTCCTTCCTGTTTGATAGTTTTCCTTCTAACAGTCAGGACCCTCAGCTGTAGGTCTGTTGGAGATTGCTTGAGGTCCACTCCAGACCCTGTTTGCCTGGGTATCAGCAGCAGAGGCTGCAGAAGATAGAATATTTCTGAACAGCGAGTGTACCTGTCTGATTCTTGCTTTGGAAGCTTCCTCTCAGGGATGTACTCCAACCTGTGAGGTGTGGGGTGTCAGACTGCCCCTAGTGGGGGATGTCTCCCAGTTAGGCTACTCAGGGGTCAGGGACCCACTTGAGCAGGGAGTCTGTCCCTTCTCAGATCTCAACCTCCGTGTTGGGAGATCCACTGCTCTCTTCAAAGCTGTCAGACAGAGTCGTTTGCGTTTGCAGAGGTTTTGGCTGAGTTTGTTATTGTTTACTGTGCCCTGTCCCCAGAGGTGGAGTCTACAGGGACAGGCAGGTTTCCTTGAGCTGCTGTGAGCTCCACCCAGTTCGAGCTTCCCAGCAGCTTTGTTTACCTACTTAAGCCTCAGCAATGGCGGGCGCCCCTCCCCCAGCCTCGCTGCTGCCTTGCAGGTAGATCACAGACTGCTGTGCTAGCAATGAGGGAGGCTCCGTGGGTGTGGGACCCTCCCGGCCAGGTGTGGGATATGATCTCCTGGTGTGCCTGTTTGCTTAAAGCGCAGTATTGGGGTGGGAGTTACCCGATTTTCCAGGTGTTGTGTGTCTCAGTTCCCCTGGCTAGGAAAAGGGATTCCCTTCCCCCTTGCGCTTCCCAGGTGAGGCAATGCCTCGCCCTGCTTCAGCTCTTGCTGGTCGGGCTGCAGCAGCTGACCAGCACCGATCGTCCGGCACTCCCCAGTGAGATGAACCTAGTACCTCAGTTGAAAATGCAGAAATCACTGGTCTTCTGTGTCGCTCGCGCTGGGAGTTGGAGACTGGAGCTGTTCCTATTCGGCCATCTTGCTCCGCCCAAGATTCTTATAACCAAATGATAGTAGCTTAGTATAGGACTTTGGAAAATGGCAACGAATAAGGGATATTCATTATTAAGAGTGTTAAGAAACAGGGGGACAAAAAGGAGGAGAAAATAGAAGAGAAAGCAAAGAGGAAAAGAAAAATAAATAGTTGGAAATAAGAGACAAGGTAAATAGCAAGAGGAAGGGACAGAGAGATTGGAGAGAGGAAGAACTGAGATGAGTGAGTAATAAATATATATACAGAGATGACTGACAGAGTGGAGGAAGAGAGGAAGTTTGAATGGAGAGGAAACGGAGTGAGAGCAGAGCAGGAGAATAGGGGATGGGAGAAGAAGAAATAATAGATGGGACAAGAGGAGAAGAGAGGAGATGAAATAGACATGGGAGAAAGAGTAGGAAGGAAGATGTATGAGAGAGAGAGAGAAATGGAGTAGGGAAAGAGAGACAAAGAAGAAAAGAAGCAGAATGATGGAGATATGTAGACATACTGCAAAATGAGACATTTAAAGGAAGGGAAGAATTATGGGGACTGGGGAGTACAGCAGAGAAGGGAGGAGAAACAGAGAAAGATAGGGACAGAGGAAAGGAGGACAGAGGGAGTGTGGGGATGAAGCAGAGGAGGAAAATGTGGCTATGTACAGAGATGGGGAAACGTGAACAATTGGAAAGATTGGGGAGAAAGAGAAGGGCTGTGAAATGAAGGGGGCATTGGAAGAGTAGAGCAGAATAGAATCAGGAGGAATAACAGAGAAGGTGAGAAAGATTTAGAGAACAGAGAAGAGGGACAGGAGGGGAAACTGGGAGAGGTGTGAAACATAAAGAACACAGAGAAACGAGAGCAAAGATGGGCAGAGAGAAAAATGGTATGTGGGTGAAAGGACAGATTTTTGCATAACATTTGCAGTCTTCTATGTTTGTTTCTATCATGTGCTATTCTTTCACTTACAGAATGATGAAAAAATGAACGAAGTAATGAATCTAGCCCATACGTTTCTGCAGAATTTCTGTCGAGGAAATCCACAGAATCAAGTTCTTCTTCATAAACATCTGAATTTGTTTTTAACTCCAGGTGTAAGTATTTTAGTGGCTTCTAATATTTCTAGTAAAGTGTGCATCAAACTTGTCTTAGTAACATTCTTGAAGAGAATTTTGTTACACTTCATTGCTGCCTTTTTTTTTCCTTGTGGAAATTCTCTCTCCAAAAGCAAGTGTCTTTTTTTTTTTTCTTTTTTTTTCCCCATTAAGGAAACTTTTAAAGAAACTTGAAAAATTGCACAAGTTTTACATGCAAATGACAACGTCTTTTATATGTATATAGTTAAATGTTAGGAAAAAGATATGGTAGAACAAAGAACTAACTCACAATACCCTGAGTAAGGTAAATATGGAAAACTCAGAGGTGGAGTTTGCCCTTGTCTGTAAAATGTGTTTGAGCAGATTTTATGGAAGACCTAACTTTGAATTCATAATTAATCTCGAGAATACTGTTGCCAGTATGTTGCACTTTATGATAATAAGCTCCTTTCTCCAACTAAATTCCTCTATGAACTCAGTTTTCTTTTAATGGTTAATGATCTCATTGCATTTTTTGAAAGACTTGCACAGAAAATTCACTGTGGCTTGGTATAAAATATAAAACTGATCACAAGCGGGGCAATTAGTCTAAGTACTGTAGAATAGAAAATTGATCTTGTCAGAATTACAAGGGCACGTTCCTCTGTGTTTAGCTCCTTGAAGCAGAAACCATGCGGCACATCTTCATGAACAATTACCATCTGTGCAACGAAATTAGCGAGAGAGTTGTACAGCACTTTGTGCACTGCATTGAGACACATGGCCGCCACGTGGAGTACCTGAGGTTTTTGCAAACAATTGTGAAAGCAGATGGTAAATATGTGAAGAAATGCCAGGATATGGTAATGACAGAGGTATGTTCTCAGTTTGCCTTTTATCAGCTTCACATAAACAGTATGTTCAAATATGTATTTTCTATTAGAGTGAAAAAACCCCCAACCGCATAGGTTTGAGAAGTTATTTAATTTAATCATGACTACTCAAGTGCAAATATATTTTGCTTTAATCTAGTGAAGCAACATATCTTAAGTTGGTTTTATGATTTTTCTAATATTTTTCTTTTTGACCTATAAAAATTTGTGTATTTTAAATAATGGGCAAAATCCTATGAAATGTTATCGATTGTTTGGAATGAAAGTGACACAATTTTATATTTTTGAGTTTCCAGTGATATAAGAAAGACAGACTGAACTGTGCTTTTCCGGTGCCTTTATTGCTCTGTTTCTGAAATATAGAATGGGTGTTCTCTGCTACTATTTGTAGAAAGGTTTGAAGAGAATCAAACTAAGTAATACAAACTACCCAACAGTGATTTTTTTTTTTTTTACAACATATGGAAACTTATTATTTAGAGTAAGTTGTACCTTTCAGCAAATGAATAGATGAAGGCACTTCATCTATTGCCTTCAAGTATGATGCATTGGAGAAGTAGCAGCTTAAAGAGCCCGTTGATTAAATCATTACTCTGTGACCAAATGGTTCTCTAGTGGCCCATATGGACTAAGGGAGCTTCCACCTATGGCTACCAAATAGTTACATGGTAGATTTTTATTGGTTTCTGGGCATTTTCATTAGTATATACCTTAAATTTGGGAATGGAGGAAATTTCCATAATGCTTCAAGGAGTCCCTCCTGCCACTTAGAAATCTTAAAATTAATTTAGCTTAAAGCCTTGAATTTTTAAATGTAAATTATTGTTATTAAACATTTTAAGGAACATTTTAAGCTTGTAAAATGCACCTTTTTCTTCTCTGCATTTACCTTCACATTAGCTCTTCATTGTCTGGAAATGTGAGAACTAAATGGATTTTGTGTTATGATCAGCAAGGAAAGAATTAGAATGGGGAAGCAGCAAACAGTGAAACCATCCCTATGACACTGTTGGGTGAAGTGTTTCTGTGCACAAAGAAGTATTTGTAATATTATATTATGTTAATATGTAATACATATTTTTGATAAATATACATTCTCTTTCAACAAAACTTTCAAAGTAAGCCAACTAATTGGCTTATAGATTTAAATATGTTGTCACTTTAAATATAATACATAGAGAAAAAATTGTATATCCTTAGTTACCTACCAACATGTCTCACACTGGGGTTAGAAAATTGGTACTGATAATAGACAATAAGATAGTATGGAGTTTGAGCAATAAAACTGCCATCTGATGGAATTTTCTACTAAAATTATATAAACAAAATATGAAGGAAAATTTATGTCCTAAAAGCCCCTACCTATTCATATCTTTGTTTCTCTTGGTTTTTTGGTCTTAGTTTTCTACTTATTTCTCTTGTCTCTGCTTTTACCTTCATTCTCTACTGATGCCTTCTTATGACACATGGAATTTTTTAGACTTTTGTAGAGCTGTAATTAGCTCGATGTACTTGCTTATGCAGTCACTATTACAATGGATGAGGATATTTTACTCTGCTTTAGTAAAATTATGAGATTTCTTGTGCTTTGGCCATAGTCTCCTGGCCAAAAAAAGGTAGAGGAAAATAACTATTTTTTTACAGGTTTAATTTGAGTGTGATGAACAATTTACTATCATCCATATTGTTTCATTCTTGCCCCATCTGCTGCTTCCATATCACCCCAACTGATTTTGATAGCATTCATAGCTGGTTCCTTGGCATGGGACCATAATCTTTTCACCACCCTCCCCCAGCTTAGCTCTGCTTTTGCCATATTATATATGTTTTTACAAAGAGATACATGTGGCCTCGGCGCGTGTATTGGCTCCTTCGGCTGCGGGCCGGCTCGGCTACGCGCTCTGCTCCGAGCCGCTCACTGCATGGTAGAGTCTGGTGCCCCCGCCGCCGCCTGCATCGCCGCCACCGCCACTCCGCCACGACCACCGCCGCCTCCTGCCCTGCAGCCGCCACCACCGCCTGTGTCGCCGCCGCCTCGGGACCGGCTGTATGATTAGGCCACAATCTTCAATGAGTAAACATATTCCTCAATTCTGTGGTGTTCTTGGTCACACATTTATGGAGTTTCTGAAGGGCAGTGGAGATTACTGCCAGGCACAGCACGACCTCTATGCAGACAAGTGAACTGTAGAAACTGATTACTACTCCACCAAGAAGCCCCCATAAGAGTGGTTATCCTGGACACAGAAGTGTTGAATTGAAATCCACAGAGCATTTTACAAGAGTTCTGACCTGGATGGGGTAAACCTCAGTGCACTTCTTTTCTGTTGGCCTCAGTATTACTGGATTGAAGAATTGCTGCTTCTTGTTAGGAGGTTCATTTCATTTATCATTACTTACAACTTCATACTCAAGCACTGAGAATTTCAAGTGGAGTATATTGAAGTAGACTTCAGTTTCTTTGCATCATTTCTGTATTCGATTTTTTAAAAATTATTTCATAACCCTATTGAGTGTTTTTTAACTAAATTAACATGGCTCGAATGAACCGCCCAGCTCCTGTGGAAGTCACATACAAGAACATGAGATTTCTTATTACACGCAATCCAACCAATGCGACCTTAAACAAATTTATAGAGGAACTTAAGAAGTGTGGAGTTACCACAATAGTAAGAGTGTGTGAAGCAACTTACGACACTACTCTTGTGGAGAAAGAAGGTATCCATGTTCTTGATTGGCCTTTTGATGATGGCGCACCACCATCCAACCAGATTGTCGATGACTGGTTAAGTCTTGTAAAAATTAAGTTTCGTGAAGAACCTGGTTGTTGTATTGCTGTTCATTGCGTTGCAGGCCTTGGGAGAGCTCCAGTACTTGTTGCCCTAGCATTAATTGAAGGTGGAATGAAATACGAAGATGCAGTACAATTCATAAGACAAAAGCGGCGTGGAGCTTTTAACAGCAAGCAACTTTTGTATTTGGAGAAGTATCGTCCTAAAATGCGGCTGCGTTTCAAAGATTCCAACGGTCATAGAAACAACTGTTGCATTCAATAAAATTGGGGTGCCTAATGCTATTGGAAGTGGAACTTGAGATAGGGTCTAATTTGTTATACATATTAGCCAACATGTTGGCTTAGTAAGTCTAATGAAGCTTCCATAGGAGTATTGAAAGGCAGTTTTACCAGGCCACAAGCTAGACAGATTTGGCAACCTCTGTATTTGGGTTACAGTCAACCTATTTGGATACTTGGCAAAAGATTCTTGCTGTCAGCGTATAAAATGTGCTTGTCATTTGTATCAATTGACCTTTCCCAAAATCATGGAGTATTGAGTTGTGACTTGTTTAAATCTATTCCCATGCCAGAATCTTATCAATACATAAGAAATTTAGGAAGATTAGGTGCCAAAATACCCAGCACAATACTTGTATATTTTTAGTACCATACAGAACTAAAATCCCAGGAACTAGGAACACTCTAGACCTTATGGGGTTTATTCCTTCACTCATTTCAAACATTGAAAGTAGGGCCTACATGGTTATTTGCCTGCTCACTTTATGTTTACATCTCCCACATTCATACCGGTATACATCAGGTTTGCTTAACCATTGATTTTTTTTTTTTTTTTTAAACCAAGTCTTACAGTGATCATTTAATATGTTTCTATAAATCTCACTTTGTGCTGTTATTAAAAAAACCTCCATTTTGAAAATCTACATTGTACAGAAGCACATGTCTTTAATGTCTTCAGACAAAAAAGCCTTACATTAATTTAATGTTTGCACTCTGAGGTGCAACTTAACAGGGAGGGCCTGAGAAAAGAATGGGAGGGGGCTATTAATTATTTTTAGCAAAATGTTGCCTTTGTCTTGTGCAGAACATGTGGAATATGCTCTTTAATTTAGTAAAATATTTTTTTAAAAGGTAGAGATGCTTTGTTATTGTAATCATAAACTTCCTGAAATTCTTGTAATTTTTTTTCCATACTTATCAGAAGCGTGTTTACCAACTTATTTTTGTTTGAAAGTGTGATTTTTTTTTTCCTTCCCAACCTCTCTTGCAAAAAAAGAAATGGGTTTCTGCTAATGAATTGAGCAGACATCTAATATTTTATATGCCTTTTGAGCTGTGTAACTTAATATTTGGATACTTGATAATTTGTTTTATTATGTAATTGATAAAATGGTGATATGTATTAATGTTAGTTCAACCATATATTTATACTGTCTGGGGATGTGTGGTTATAGTTCTGTGGGAGAAATAATTTTGTCAGTGTTCACCAGCTTGTAAAAACTTAGTGCGAGAGCTGAAACATCTAAATAAATAATGACATGCATTTATCATAAAAAAAAAAAAAACAAAAAACAAAGAGATACATGTGTTTCCAGATATATCAAGCCTTTGGAATTAACTGCAAGGATAAATGTTTGGACGGCTCTGTAGACTCTCTTATTATCTTTTCAGTTGATAAATGGGGGTGAAGACGTGCTGATATTTTACAATGATAGAGCGTCATTTCCCATCCTTCTCCATATGATGTGTTCAGAGAGAGACCGAGGGGATGAGAGTGGCCCCTTAGCCTACCACATCACCCTGGTGGAGCTGCTGGCAGCATGCACAGAGGGGAAAAATGTCTACACTGAAATCAAGTGTAATTCCCTTCTCCCGCTGGACGACATAGTGAGGGTGGTGACCCATGACGACTGCATCCCTGAGGTAAGCCTGGCAAAAGCTTGGCAGCTCTAATAGAATCATTATTAATTTTTAAAGTTCATGTAGGTGCCAGAAGTCCCCCATACTAATATTTATAATGAGATCATATATTTAGTCAGGGAATTGTATTTAACTATATAATTTGGAAAATGTAAAGCAGCATAAAAGGTCTGCTTTTTAATAAGAAGTTCTAAAAGAAGTTCTGAAAGATGATAAACTTTTTTTGTTGGTTTTTTTGAGACAGAGTTTTGCTCTGTTGCCCAGGCTGGAGTGCAAAGGCAAGATCTCGGCTCACTGCAACCTCTGCCTCCTGGGTTCAAGTGATTCTCCTGCCTCAGCCTCCTGAGTGGCTGGGATTACAGGCATGTGCCACCACACCCAGCTAATTTTTGTATTTTTAGTAGAGACGGGGTTTCACCATGTTGCCCAGGCTGGTCTCGAACTCCTGACCTCAGGTGATGCACCCACCTCGGCCTCCCAAAGTGTTGGATTTACCGGCATGAGCCACCGCAGCCAGCCTATGAGAAACTTTTAAGACGTATAGCCACTGCTCGTTTAGTGGAAGCTACTAGACAGCTCTCTTAAAATTCTAAACATGGCAATATGATCAAACTGAAAGGTTTACTTGAACCTTTAGTATGTACTTGAGCATAAAATAGGTGTTTCAAAAATGATTCATAATCATTGATTGGAGAGGCTAGGATAGTGCTGCAGGATCACATAAAAGACTCTGCAGGTTTACCTGGTTTTATGGAATAGATGCATTCTTGAAAATATGCACACACAGTTTGCTTTATTCCTACATCATTTACCCTCTGTCCTGGTTTGACTCTGATGATAGAAAAAGCCTCAGTAGCAGCTGGTTGTCTGCCAATAGGCTTCTATTAATGAGGCATCCAGGAATGTACATTGCAATAATTTCTTTCTTTTCTACTGTTGTATGTTGTTCCAAAGCTTATAAATGTGTGACACCCTGAAAAAGATATGGAGTCAAACATTTAAAATCACAGTAACTTAAAAAGGTGTCAGATGAGGTTAACGGAAATTCCCTACTTTTAGATAATCGTATGGTAGTGATGGACTTGAAAGCACATTTTTGTGAAATTTTGTGGAATTGTCGACATGTCACTCCAAGAGTACTTCATGCCTGATTGGTCTGAAATAAGATGACAAAGAGGGGAAGTCTAGTCTAATGATGAAATCCCTGGGTTCTGTCCTTACTTGAGAGCCTGATTCTGGGTATATTTCTTCCTGCATGTAGTTCCCTCTGACACTACCACTCTTACCTCTTACATTCATCTAAGTAACTCCTCCTTATCCTTTAGATCTTGATTCAAGCCTTACTTCTCCAGGGAGGACTTCCTTGGCCTCCCTTAGTAGAGTCTGTAAGAATATATAATTTGAAATTTGACATTTCCATTTTATTAGTTAGCAAAGACCTGTAACCCTCATGCCCATGCCCAAGATTGTAAGCTCTATGAGAATAACAACAACTGGATCTGTTTCTTTTCACTGTTTTATTGTTTGAGCCAGAGCCTACACTCAATAAATAAGTTTTGAATGAATACACAAAAGAATTACAGAATATTTTATCCTGGATACATTACATTCTAGTTGTGTGGCTGACTCCAACAGGTTACTTTAACCTTTTTAATCTTAAATTCCTACAATTTTAAGGTGGAATAATTATCGTATATACCTGATAGGATTGTTGGAGGATTAAAGTAAATAATTCATACAAGATGCTGAGGGTATTTGGCACATAGGAAACACTGAGTACATTTTAGCTGCTGTCATGATAGGTGTGAGAATGCACTGAGTGGCCCGCGTCTCTGTACCCTGTGGCCATCCTTGAGACGGGCACTCTGCCGTTGACGGTTTGTTTAGGATCAGTGAGGTACAGAGAAGCACCAAGGGCATGAAAGCTGTCCCATATTTTTTATGGTTCCAATTTGGATTCCATGAGTCCCTGAAATTGTTCATATGATTTTTTATGTATATGTATTTTTCCAGAGAGATTTATAGCATTCATCAGATTTTCATAATGAAGGAAACAAAAAAATGCAAAACAAAAATTCCTGTCCTATGTACTTTAGAAATGGTGTATGTTAGTGAAATTCATCCCAACCCTTTATGAGGAATTTCACTAATTCTGGAAAGGAATTTTACTACATCTGTATCTTAAAATAGTATACATTTTTGGGGGTAAACTAGGAGCTTATTTCTTCTCAGAAAAAAGTAATTTAAATATTTTTGAATGGTAATGAAGAATTATTTGGTCAAAATATTTTGATGTTTTATTAGGACTCTCTTGGTTACAAGTGACAGAAACCTAACATAAACTAGTTTAAATTAAAAAAGGGAATTTTATTGGCTCCAGTACATAGGAATTTGAAGGATGGTTGTTCAGATGGATCCAGAGGTTGAAAGAGTGTCAGAATTTATTCTATTTCTCATCCCTTTTTCCTTCATTTTTCTGCCTCATTCTCTTCTGGGTATAATTTTCCTCTGTATACCTGGAGAAGATGGTTTTTTGAAGTTAAGGTTTACCTTGTTTCATTTTAGCAATGAGAGAAAAAGGAAAGAGTTATTGAGAAGAAGGAAGAGGAGGAGGAAGAGGGCGGGGACTCATGTATTTAGTCAAGTAATTGTGTTTATGTAATTTGGAAAATTTAAAAGAGCATAAAAGCTCTACTTTTTAATAAGTTCTGTAAGAAGTTCTGAAAGATGACAAACTTTTAAGAACTATAGCCACTGCTAGTTTAGTGGAAGCTACTACACAACTCTTAAATTCTAAACATGGCATTGTTATCAAAGTGAAATTTTAGTTGAACTTTAAGTATGTTCTTGAGCATAAAACAGGTGCTCAAGATGGGGAAGGGATTGGGGGTACAGAGAAGGAGAGGGGAAGAAGAAAGAAAGGGAAAGAGAGAGGAAGGAGGGGTTGCTTTTGACTCCTAGAATCTCAAATATGATAGGCTTGTTTTGTGTAAAGTTCTTTCCCACAGCAATTGTTGGGCCCAGGGGGATGGAGTTACTTGGCCCCACGTTTTCACCCCTAGGTCAGTGAACTCTTAGCAAAAGAAGAGAAATGGGAATGCTTTCTGGATAGACAAAACTATGCTATGATCTACCATGAAAACTAACAGATTTTATATTAACCTTTTATAGTTGATATTTCAAAGTCATCAATAAAGAAAACTAACTTTCTTTTGTATTTGGAACTTGCACAGGTTAAAATTGCTTATGTGAACTTTGTTAATCACTGTTATGTTGACACTGAAGTGGAAATGAAAGAAATCTATACAAGTAACCACATTTGGAAATTATTTGAGAACTTCTTGGTGGATATGGCAAGGGTAAGTTAGATTTTGACCACTGAAGGACGTCAATAGATATTTTGACTCAATAGTATTAAGCATCTGGATGAAGACTCACAGTTAAATTCACTACCTTTTGATTTAATGCATTCATTCATAAAGTTATGAATAAATTTCAGAAGATTGTGAATGAGATTTAATGAGTTAATATATACACAGAATGCTTAGTACATTGTAGATAGCAGCAGGTAAAGTGTTCATTTTCACCTTTATGAGTGACTGTATTTGTCTGTTATTAAATGGAATCTTAGTGGCCTTCTTATATTGGTTAGAGAAGATATTTGGCAGAGGTCAATTTGCATTTAATCTCTTATTCTAAGTGCAGTTACAAAGCACAGATCAAGAGACCTGAAGAGGTCTTGACTACTGCTTTCAGGCAGATAGGTACTTGACCAGCCAACTAAGGACTTAGCCTTGCTCACTGTTGACAATTCAAAATCTTCTTTGGAAGTGTACTCCAGTAATTTAATCATCTGGCATTTTCACTCATGTCCACCAAATTATATTCTGCTTGTTGCTGTTTGTTTTGTTGGGGGCTGTTGGGGAGGACAACATTTTCTAGATACTGCCTGGCATATGTTTTTGCTCTGTTAATATTGAGTAAATGAATGAATGAAGAAATATAAGAAAGAAGGAATCTCTTTGATGGACAACACAATTTTCTTTAGCACATCTTAGCCTTTTTTTTATGCATACTGAATTATCATAACAGCCAGGGTCTAAAAAAAATCTCTGATTTTCCCTTTAAAGAAGTTATGGGACTTGATGTTCAAATAAGGTTTCACTAAAGAAAACGGTGTATAGATAACTCCTTAGACCTATTATGAATGGTGGTGGCCAGACTCAGCCGCTTTGGCCTTCCAACATTCCTGAGCGCTGGTTGCTTTGTATAGGCCTTATATCGATGTATTTGGAGGAGAAAGATTAGTGAAGTCCATATTTTCATTGTATTAATTACAAGAACAGATGCTGTTATCTATTAGCTCACTGCCTCTCTACACCTTTTTCTGAAAGGAGGGATGACAAGACATGTGAGAGCACCCTTGGATAATACAGTGAATCATGTGTTATTCCAGACCATGGACTCTTTTTATTTAGCCAAGGTTTCCAAGTGAAATGTGCTTAGTTTACTTTTGGTGTGGTGCAGTGTGGTGAGTGAGGTAGTTCTTGTTTTACTTCATTTCCATACAGCTAAAAACTGCTTATTGCCTATCTCAGGTAAATATGCACCTGTAGAGAAATCCTCCTGTTTTATGCAGCATTTAACGTAGTACTCATATATGTCCCCATTGACCTTGTGAAAACCTTGATTCTGACCAGCTGTAGTATCTCCAGAGACCTTGAAGTAATGAGTGACTTCCATGCCAATGACTGAGCTTTAAAACTGCACGTGCAGGAGAATATTAAAGAGATTATAGACTGATTTGCAGAGTTGCACAGTGCTACTGACTAAAGATAAACTTGAAACAGATCAAGGTCACATTGTAGGCAGCATGAGCTTTAAAGCTGAAAGGATTTTTATTTTTTAAACCAAAGAACGCCAATGATAACTTCCATTGATAATGCTACCTGGGAAATACTGTTTTCACTGATATATGTGCCAGGCAAAGGTGTACAAATTTACATTCTTTTTTTGAAAACAAAACAAAACACATATAGCAACAATTTTAACTATTGCTTAATTAGATAATTAATGTTATTATATTAAAGCTCTAGGGGAATTTCAATATCTTCTTGATCTATTTATTCTTTATGTCTAACCACAATAACTTAGCTATATTGCAAAAAGGTTTTTAAAAATATTTCCTTCTTGTTTATTTTAAAACAGCAGCTCTCTAATCCCTTCACCAGGGTTGACAGGAATCGCCTTGCCTTTTTCAGGGAAGGAAATAGGAACCTGACTTTTTCATGTCTGGGATTTTTCTCTCTCCCCATGAAGAAAGATCAAAGTCACCACAAACTTTCAAATTCAGGTTATAAAACTAAGTGTGGTTAAATGAGTAGAATGTGGCCTTCTAGGTAAATTTTCAGTTCAGTTGGGCAGTTTTTAAGCTTTAGTGAGCATCAGGCTTAGCTGAAGGACTTTGTAAAATACAGATTGCTGGGCCTTGTCCCCAGAGTTTCTGATTTCCATACATGAGAGACTTTGCATTTTTAACAAATTCCTAGGTGATGCTGCAGATGCTGGTCCAGGGACCACACTTTGAAAATCACTGTAGTAGATAGAGCCTGGTAGCTAAGAGTAGGAATTTCAAAGGATTTAGCCAGACCAGAGTTCAAGTCTAGAATCTGCCTCTCAGTAGCTCAGTTTATCTTGGGCAAAGTACTTAACCCCTCTGGGCCCTGAGTTTCCTGATTTGTAAAATGAATACAATAAGTTCACATTCCCCATAGGATTAGTGGGAGAATCTAATGAGATAATGTGTATAAAATTCTTAACACGTATTAGCATCAGTAAGAGAGTTGGTAACATGAGCCATATCATTGTATCCAGAGGACCATTCAGCATAGGCAAAAACTGGAAATTGTGTCCATAAAGCTGGACATCCCCAACAGTAGTTGACATAAATAGCCACGTATGAGATAAACCAAATCCAGGTGTTCCAACAAAGTTATGAAATCCTGGAAGAACTGATTTATATCCGTGAGAGATGATGAAGGTAATCTGGAGGAAAGGAATTTGGTAAGTTGAACCTAAAGAATCATAGCATCTTAGGGTTGGAAGAGACTAGTAGTCAAATTTATACCCAGTTCATAGTCTTCGGCACTTACTTAAATATCTGACTAACAACGATCTTACTACTTTTTTCTTTTTCTTTTTAATTTTTGTGGATAAATACTAGCTATATATATTTATGAGGTACAGGAGATATCTTTATACTGCCATATAATGTGTAATGAACACATCAAGGTAAATGGGATATCCATCACCTGAAGCATTTATCCTTTCTTTGTGTTACAAATAGCCCAATTATATTTCTTTAGTTATTTTAAAATATACAAGAAATTATTCTTGACTGTAGTCACTCTGTTGTGCTATCAAATATTAGATTTTATTCATTCTTTTTAACTATATGTTTGTACCCATTAAGCATCCCCACTTCCCCTCTGCTCCACTACCCTTCCTAGCCTCTGGTAACCATCCTTTTATTCTCTATCTCCATGAATATAATTGTTGCAATTTTTTAGTGCCCACAAATAAGTGAGAACATCCAAAATTTGTCTTTGTGTGCCTGGCTTATTTCACTTAACATAATGACCTCCAGTTCCATCCCTGTTGTTGCAGATGACTGGATCTCATTCTTTTTTAATGGCTGAATAGTACTCCACTGTGTGTATGTACCACATTTTCTTTATCCATTCATCTGTTGGTGGGCGCTTAGGTTGCTTCCAAATTTTGGCTATTGTGAGCCGTGCTGCAACAAACACGGGAGTGCAGATATCTCTTCAGTGTACAATTTCCTTTCTTGTGGGAATATATCCAGAAGTGAGATTGTTGGATCATATGGTAGCTCTATTTTTAGATTTTTTTTTTTTTTTTTTTTGAGATGGAGTCTGGTTCTGTCACCCAGGCTGGAGTACAGTGGTGTGATCTCAGCTCACTGCAACCTCCACCTCCAGGATTTAACCATCTCCCACCTCAGCCTCCCAAGTAGCTGGGACTACAGGCATGCACCACCATGCCTGGCTAATTTTCATATTTTTTTAAGTAGAGATGGGGTTTCACCATGTTGGCCAGGCTGGTCTTGAATTCCTGACCTCAAGTGATCCACCTATCTTGGCCTCCCAAAGTGCTGGGATTACAGGCGTGAGCCTCTGCACCCGGCTATTTTTAGTTTTTTGAGGAACCTCCAAAATGTTCTCCCTAGTGATTGTACAAATTTACATTCCCACCAGTGGTGTACGAGGGTTTCCATTTCTCCACGTGCTCTTCAGCATTTGTTATTGCCTCTCTTTTGGATAAAAGCCACTGTAACTGGGGTGAGATGATATCTCATCATAGTTTCAATTTGCATTTCTCTTGTGATCAGTGATGTTGAGCACCTTTTCATATACCTGTTTGCCATTTGTATGTCATCTTTTGAGAAATGTCTATTCAGATCTTTGCCCATTTTTAAATCAGATTATTCTATTTTTTTCCTATAGAGTTGTTTGAGCTCCTAATAGATTCTGGTTATTAATCCCTTGTCAGATGGATAGTTTGCAAATATTTTCTCCCATTCTGTGGATTATCTCTTCACTTTGTTGATTGTTCCTTTGCTGCACAAAAAGCTTTTTCTTTTCTTTTTTCTTTCTTTTTTTTTTTTTTTTTTTGGAGATGGGGTCTCACTCACCCAGGCTGGAGTGCAGTGGTGCTACCTCAGGTCACTACAACACCTGCCTCCTGGGTTCCAGTGATTCTCCTGCCTCAGCCTCCCGAGTAGCTGGGACTACAGGCACCCACCACCACGCCCAGCTAATTTTTATTATTTTAGTAGAGATGGGGCTTTACCATATTGGCCAGTTGGCCAGGCTGGTCTCAAACTCCTGACCTCAAGTGATCTGCCCACCTCGGCCTCCCAAAGTGCTGGGATTACAGGCGTGAGCCACTGTGCCCGACCTGAAGCCTTTTAACTTAATGTCATCCCATTTGTCCATTTTTGCTTTGGTTGCCTGTGCTTGTTGGGTGTTACTCTAGAAATTTTTGCCCAGACCAATGTCCTGGACAGGTTCCCTGATGTTTTCTTGTAGTAGTTTCAAGGTTTGAGATCTTAGATTTAAGTCTTTAATCCATTTGGATTCAATTTTTGTATATCATGAGAGATAGGGATATAGTTTCATTTCTTCTGCTTATGGATATTTGGTTTTCCTAGCACTATTTATTGAAGAGACTGTCTTTTCCCCAGTGTATGTTTTTGGCACCTTTGTGGAAAATGAGTTCATTGTAGGTGTGTGGATTTGTTTCTGAGTCCTCTTTTCTGTTCTTTTGGTGTATGTGT